GTGGTGAATGAGAGGTTCGTGTTTGGCGTGGTTGCTCCAAGCGAGACGTGAAGCTATCCACACCCTAGATTCAGCATGCATGCCAAGCACGCTAAACTACGCAATCACGTGAGAGCAACGTCGTCTTTACAATGAATTGGCAGTGGTCCGTGCCCATTTCACACTGGTATACTGTTTGAGGGAGTGGCTTTGCAGCAATTCGCATCGCTATACTGTATAAATGGATACCACTAAAATCCTGAGAGGAGGAAAGTAGAATGCTTGACAACACTCTTCTTGCACCAGTCACCATGAATAATTCAGACTTTGTTAATGTTTGGTCGCATAAAATACAGATTTTCAAATTGCATGTATCAGAGAAAGCCGCCTTCCAATTACTGGTGATATTTCGAATTTGTTCTTCTTTTTCGTCTGCTGGATGTTAGAATCTCGGATAGTAATAGGCTTGGCTCGGACGTTGACGTCAGTATGTACTTTCGGAGATCCGGGCCTTATGTGGAAACTTTTATTGGAAGCATCCTGCGGCTACCAGTAACTCGGAAAGCATCTAGGATTTACTACAGACTTTCCTTCAACCTTTTACAGCTCCATATCTCACAGCTAGACCTCACATCGAACATGCTTAGCCTAATAGGCTTCAAAAGCTCCTCAGCACCGCTCGGGCTCAAATGGCGATCTCACCCATTCTTCGTCGTCCTCACTGTCGGCACGGGAGCATTTGTGGATCTCTTCCTCTATGGACTTATCGTTCCTGTACTCCCTTTTTTGCTGAAAGATCGTATCGATATCCCCGACTCGCAGATTCAAAGTACAATATCGTATCTGCTTGCAGTATACGCAGCCGCGTCTTGCGCAGCATCCCCAATAGCCGGAGTATTGGCTGATAAATTTGCCAAATCTCGACAACTACCCTTCCTCTTAGGACTCATGATGCTCCTCTTATCTACTGTGCTGCTCGCTCTGGGACGTAGTGTGGCCGTCCTTGCTATTGCGAGAATTCTGCAGGGTGCTTCTGGAGGCGTTGTCTGGACCATTGGTATCGCTATTGTCGTAGAGACGGTAGGACAAGAGAACCTGGGAAAAACCATGGGCACATTGTTTAGTTTCATTTCTGTGGCTGGGCTATTTTCACCGATTGCTGGAGGAGTACTCTATGCGAAGACTGGATATAAGGGCGTCTTTGGAATTGGCCTTGGGTTGATCGGAATAGACCTCATCCTCAGAGTGCTCATGGTAGAGACGAAAGTTGCAGCAAGGTATTCTAGTCCAAAGTCAGAAGCAGTCCATGATCCGGATAGCACTCAAGAAAATACTGAAGGGACACCCCTCTTACCCAGCCGTACCGTCACGGACGATCGCTACCATCTCTCCAAGCCAGCAAATCGATTCACTCGCAACTTCCCCATCCTCATGCTCCTACGCGATTCCGCCTTGTTAGCCTCCATCTGGGTTGCCTTCATGCAAGCTCTACTACTAGGTTCCTTCGACGCTACAATTCCTCTGGTAGCTTCTGAGCAGTTTGGCTTCAACAGTCTAAAAGCCGGGCTTCTCTTCTTGCCGCTCGGCGGTGCTGACTTTCTTTTTGGACCTGTTTTCGGATGGTGTGTTGATTGCTATGGTACGAAGCCATTGGCTTTCCTTGGATTTATCTGGCTCATACCTACTCTTATATTACTTCGCCTTCCCACCGAGTCGAATCTTGTCGAAAAGCTGGACCAGTCACACCTTATTGCGCTCTACGCTGGCCTGTTAGCAGCCAACGGACTAGGATTATCAAGTGTCAATAGCCCCAGTATCGTCGAAGCTGGGAATGTAGTTGAGAAGTACTACAAAGCAAACGAAGACTTGTTTGAACAAACGCCATATGCGCAACTGTATGGCATCAACAGTATGGTCTGGGGCGGCGGATTGACTGTAGGCCCGTTGATTGCTGGACTACTGCGAGAAAAGATTGGCTACGGAAATATGAATGCGGTGCTTGCTGGCCTCTGTGCACTCACTGCTATCATTTCTGCCTTTTTCATTGGTGGGAGAGAAGAAGATGGCGATGCCGTTAGTGAACACGTCGGCTAGATACTAGCTCTCTACATTTGAGCTGTACAACGATAATATTCAGACATAATCTATATGATCTCAAACCCAACAAGCAAAGCAATCGTGCAAAGAGCATTGCTCGTAGCCCGCTTCCTCTTGGGTCAAACCAATGTCTCCCATGTTGAACAGCAAGGCCACTGCGGTAGTTGTTAGCCAGAGTGATATCAACTACAGAGAATGACGCTATTTTGTCATTGGCTTCTCTCAAAAGATTGACATAACTGCGTGATATATTTGCTAGTACGCCTTCTCATTTGGAAGTAAACTCAATCGTGGTCTATTTGTCAACCGAGGTCCTCCCAAAGCCAGATTTGCAAGGATAAGGTCTAGAATTTGAACACGAGCTACCTATTGGATCCCAGCATCTATTCTTGTTGTTCCAATGGAGGTTTCCGCACTGACTACTACAGCAGGTTTTGCGTCAAATTCTGCTTTGGAAACACCTTTGATGAAGCTGTGAGCAAGTAAGCATAGTGGTGCATGTAAGCTTGGACGTCAGTGAGCCTGTTGAGAAACCGAGGTCATTTGGAAAATAAGGCTTATTACTCACTTTTCCAGTTTCGGAAGTTGCGAAGTGTTGACGTAAGTAAGCGTTGGTTGAATAAAGAGGGAAACTGCAGACGCTAATTTTACGTACCTAACAAGCTTGCATCTATCCGCGCAACTAACTAATCAACCTATCATGCACTACTTCTCTATATTTTCCAGAGGATCTCCCCAGTCATACTTCTTGTCACTTTCGTTTATAAGGGTTGGGCGGCGATGTAACTGAGGCTTCGCAAGAAGCATAACTAGAGTTCATATCATAATCTAATCAAGCACTGGAGGGACGGCTTGCGCTCACATCAGAAGGGAGAGAGTGTTTTTTTGGGTCGACCGCACTTATTCGATCCTTCCCTTGTATGATAAGCCATCAGTGACGGTGCTATGATACCGAGACCCATGATCTCACTCATTTGAACACCCCGGTTGAGACTTTTTCCAGAGGTTAAATTAGTAGTTCTTTCCAGAACCAAGGTCAAAGAGCATTATACACAGTAATTAAGTCAATTTCCAAGCATGCCTCAAGATAGTTCAGTCTGACATGTTTGTATTCTTTCCAATCGCATTATAACTCCATGATTGGCTATCTTTGCGCTTTTCCACACTATTCCGCCGAGCTTTTGCTGCTCAGTAAATGGCAGAGCAAAATAGCGCAAAAGGCTGGAATGTGGTAACTGAAGTATATTTGAGGTGAGTTTTGCAAGGAAGACTCGATCGGTTTTCCTTCAAGACAGCGCTAAACAATCTCGGTGCTTTGAGTATGGTGCGATAGTCAGGATCTATTCATTCACCAAGAAAAGTCGGAACGAGAGCGAAAATATCGAAAGAAACACAATATAGGAAATTATCAAAAAAAAAGAATCATATGGAGTCCCAAAGAGCTTGCCAAGAACGGTATGTTAACACGACGTCAAATAAGCTATGCGAGATCAGCAATGCCTATGTTTACAAGCAAGCCCTTACATGACAGTACACGTGAAGTTCAGTAAAATTGAACAATGTTACCTTGGTCATATCAGGGGCGGTGTATTGGATCTGTGGTATCGTTTTCACGGCTTTCAATAGCCGCGGCATCTGGCGGCAACGGCTCAACAGGCTGGAAAGCCGGCTTTACTACCAAAGAAGCTCTCATTTGTTTCTTCGCAAGGTGAGGAATCGAAACTGCGATTGGATAGTGTCAGATTAATTAAAACACCTGCAGACAACCATGCAAGTCTTATGCAACGACCCGCTTGTTGCAGCGCTGACATGTGGGGCGGTTGTGGTCCGGCGAGATTCCGCGGTGATCTCATCGACTTGTTGGCTGCTCCAGAAGTCAGGTAAAAGTTGCATGACCGAGTGATACCGGGATCTCCGGGAGCAAGTCAGCAGATGAGAGAACTTCAAGCTTAATTCTATCCAGGAAGCGATTGCTGTTGTCAATGGTACCCATTTCGCTGAGATGCAGGTTAGATGATTCGATTTCGTTGGCAGCGTTAATAGAGGCAGCCGTATCGGTATAGCGACCACTTGAGGCGTGTATTTTGTCCTCAAGTTTACAAGAAACGGGACTAAAAGTAGCGGTTCGACTGCGTCTACAAAAATAGCAGAATCCAACGTCTATTGCTTTAGTGTATCGCTACGACAACACCAATGTCCTAACTAATCCAGTGAACTCTTCGGCATCGGCGCCGGTACCGAGATAGGTGTATTATAACTTACTTCATGCCTGAACCAAGTCATGACTTCACCGAACTAAGACTTGTTCGCCCAAGCCATCAATGCGGCAGCCATATTTTATAGTTCACTAAGGAAGTTCCTTTCGTGTAAGACCAAGTCAGAGTCCTAAACTTTAAGCAAGCGCCTGTTCACCTCCATCTCCGTTTTTCGTCTACTGAACCTGCTTCGGGCTCGATGTAGAAAACGAAGCTGGAAGTACCATCTTGTTTGGAAAAAAAAAAGCCTCAAAAATATGAAATGAAGGTCCCTTTTATCACCGATTCTATATCCCGAAAAATAGGATCTACCTGGTGCTAATTCGCTCTGACTTTTCTCACATTAACACGAAATGAAGGTCTATTTTCTAGCTATTCTAGTGGCCTAGCTTACTACATGTGGGAATCTGGACATAAAATAGAGCTCCAATTGAACAGACCCTCCGTTATCTGTCTTAATCTGGATCGGGGCTAACTAGCCTCCCTCTGTCGAAGCCCTAAGCCTAAAGAGCGGCCAAACAGAGATGGAGAACAGAGAAGTGAACAAACCCTAAGTACTTAAGCTGTCCCGCAGCTGTAGTGGGGCCCTGGACCGAGGTCACGGTTCTGTTTTAAACCGATATGCTATGTAGAATGACCATGTCAAATGAGAAATGAAGGCAAGATCTAGCGTAGAAGAGTATTCTATTGAAGAAGAGTTCAAGTATGTACAGCCAGCCAATATTATGTCCTTATTAAGTAGTTGTTGATATAGAGGATACCTAGGGTCAAAATCTAGCAATGAGCGGTGATTTGGTTCTGTCCGGTTTTACTAAAGGCCCGTAAAAATTTGCAAGGTCTCTTTGATCAATACGACATCACGCTCGAGTAAGCTTTGCGTTAAGCATCGATCGTCTTGCAGGATATAACGGACTTGCCATCCCTGGTTCCAGGCGTACACACTACGGGAGATGTGGTTTCAAACACGAGCTCTACGCTACCATTCTTTGCACCCGTGAACTGTATGTTGGCACTAGCGTTCACCGTATTCATTCCAATACCTGCACCGATAGTAATGAATCCAGGAGTCATGGTGAACCCACTACCCAGGCCAAAGTCGCTGGAGCCAGCTTGAAGTCCGCCTAACACGCGGTATCAGTTCCCGTAGATTGCGTAATCAGGTGATTTGCTTACCTCCGTAAGATGTGTCTGCTTGCCAGTTGATACCGCAGCCAACGCCGATATCACCAAACGGGGTGAGATTACCCGCCGCCGCCACATTTCCAGAGCCGACGGTGGATGTGGCATTCTTCTCTAAGCTCGTGATTTGCACGCCGCTAGATCCGGATTGCTGTTGTGGCGCCGCAAATGCCGACATTTGCATAGCCAGAAATGGAACAAAGATTAATTTGAACATTTTTGATGGAATTAGGTTTTACTGGAAACGAGTGTGAGCAACAAGAATCACCTGTCGCAGATGCTGTAGTAGAGTGAATACAGAATATGTAGAGGAGTTTGGGAAGATAAGGGGGTGAACGTTTGGATCAAAGCTTGTGGGGCAGCGACACTTCTATAACTGGTTGTCAAGCATATGGCTGCTAGCTCAACATGACGGCCCAATTTATCCATGTCTGTTTCTTGGGAAATTACCGGTGCTTGGGGCGACATGACCGTACGAAAGTCGGGACGTTTCTTCGGTCCGAACTCAAAGTTTACTTCTTAGTAGAGAGTACTCAAATAACATCAGGATTTTGGTGCGACGACTGGGCAATAACTGCGTGCTCTACGCAGGACCAATATGACTGCCATGCTCGATTGTACATTCAATACCTACGAAAAGGTATCCGTAAAATACATAATTTCGAAAAACCTGAGATGCAAGGATACTACACGCTAGACGGCAGGATCGTCGGCCCAGCCTCGGTGGATTCTGGGGGGCGCGCCTGTATCCGGCGGACCCACACACCGGCCTACCGCTACTTACTAGCGTTAGGGCGTTGAGGCACTGTCGGAATAAACTGATCAACAGGCAGGTGTACCTATGGGGGGGGNGGGGGGCGGGGGGCGCCGAATGTGGAGGGCTAACTATGGCAGTCTTTATTTATAATGATTGTGCTTGATATATATAACTGGTGGATCCTGAGCACATTATTCTCACTCCCCAATCCATTCCTTTAAGATGCTTTCCTGCCTTGCGATTGGTTTACTATTGGCGACGGCGCGTTCAGTCGCGGGCAAGGAGGAGCCGTATGAAAATGGGACCGCTATCGTGAACACCACTGGCGTGGTCACCCACGGTGATCGCTTTCACCCCGATTTCTATCTTTCAGTCACGTACGAACTCCAAAATGTCGCATGCGCGCAGCGCATGTCTGTTTTGGTGAATGGCACGTCCCCTGGACCGGCGCTACGACTACCAGCTGGGAAAACGAGCTGGGTGAGGGTCTGCAACGACATGGATGAATTCAACACAACAATGGTATGAGTATTATTGCATATCTACAAAGCTACATCTAACACAATTCAGCATTGGCATGGTCTCACTCAACGTACAGCGCCATTCAGTGATGGATCCCCCGTCAGCCAGTGGCCAATTGCACCCCACAAGTGTTTCGATTATGAGATACACCCCGATTGGGACGATGCGGGAACATATTTCTACCACTCACATATTGGTTTCCAAGCCATCTCTGCTACTGGACCGCTCATCGTTGAGGACTTCGGATTACCCCCAATTCTGTATGACGAAGAGCGATTTGTCTTCCTCCAAGACTACTACAGAAAGGGTGATCAAGTATTGGAACAGGGTCTTACAGCAATCCCATTTGTCTGGCTTGGTGAAGTAGATGCGGTACTGATCAATGGTGTTGGTGTGACAAGAAATGCAACGGTTGGTCAGGGAGACTGTCAGCTTCCAGTTATTGACGTAGAGCCTGGAAAAGTCTACCGCTTTAGATTTGTCGGCGCGTTGGCCATATCTATGGTTTCACTGGCCATCGAGGGCCATTCCAGCTTCGAAGTCATTGCAGCTGATGGCCATTACACGAAACCATATCCGATCGACCACATGCAGGTAGCATCTGGGCAGCGCTTCGATGCCCTCCTTCGTACAAAGACGGTAGCGGAGCTTGAAGCCTCAGGCAAGACTGATTACTACATCCAGTTTGAGACGAAAGACCGACCTGCTATCTACACTGGATTTGGCATTCTGCGCTACCCCAGCATCAACGGAAATCAGATTACTACTCGGCCTATGACAAATCCTCTTGTTCTCCCCAACAATACATACGACTTCCTCGAGTACGCATTGGAGCCTTTGGTCCCCAACAACTTCCCGAAGGCATCTGAGGTGACACGACGCATCCACATCACCAATGAGCAAATTACGAAAGGCTCAATTGTTTGGCAAATGGACGGCCTTAACTGGACAGAAAACGCCCCGCAAAACAGCCCCCCGTACCTGGTAGATATTTACAAGAATGGGCCGATTGCCATGCCAAACTATACCGCAGCACTTGCAAATAACGACTGGGACCCAATTACTCTTACCTGGCCTGCCAAGCTTGGAGAGGTCCTCGAGATCATCCTCGAAAACACAGGAAGTCTAGTCAACAATAACGGTGGAGTGGATTACCATCCTATGCATTTCCACGGCAAGCACTTCTACGACGCCGGAACCGGAAAAGGCAAATACGATCCTGTTGAGCATGAGAAGAAGCTAGCAAACTATAATCCTGTTCTACGTGATACTACACTGTTGTACCGGTACTCTGCCCAGGGCGTGGCTGGAGAGGTGCAATCGTGGAGGGCCTGGAGAATACGTGTCGAGGCCCCAGGAGTTTGGATGATGCATTGTCACATTCTCCCGCACATGGCGATGGGTATGCAGAGCGCTTGGGTGTTTGGCGACTACAAGGATATTGCAATGATTCCTTACAAGGGCGCCGAGGGGTATCTGAACTATGGCGGAAATGCATATGGCGACAGCAATTCGCCACCAGTTGCGTATCACTACTTTGACCAGAAAAAAGGCGGCAGCAAAGGGTAATCAGCTGCGCGTCACTTCGATCATAAGAGAAATGCTTGATCCTGTATTCTCAGAATCGGTAACTTGGAATTCATTTCTACTATTTTCTAGTTACAATTACATGTAATTTAGTAGACTAGAGCCTTATACGTTACAAATATCACTTTGGATCTTCACCAACGTAAGCACTGAGGAAATGTAAGAGATGCGATGAGAATGTAGATCGCGCAAATTAAAGGTTCAAACACCCAAATGCCCTTTGTTGTGCGAAAGAGATGACGGGAAACGCTCTCCTCAAGGCTCTGGAACCAAGCACATCCGATGAGCCATTATCGCGAAAGTCAGCCCAAACCTTGTCCGCCGCGTGTTACGTTTGCATGCTGTACAATGGTCCGCGATTGGGGCACAGTACCCCACGGCCCGATGGAGGCGGAACTGCATTGCCTCTAGCCGTACGCGAACGCACGCCTGCGCCCTGTGGTGTGGGGTACTAGAAGGTAGTAGTGCGGGCAGTGGGCCACGGGGCGCAGGCGATCGATCTTACTACTACTAGTAGTAGTGACCGAGGCTTAACCGACCCGGCCACATCAGCCCTGAACCCTAGGGCGACACATGTTTAGCACAAGGGACACGCCTCAATGCTTGGTTGTCGACCAAAGCCCTTTGCTTCCACCATCGAATAAGATGGCTTGGTAACAGCTCCGAATTTCTAGACCCCGTCCAAGGTTTCCACGTGGATACTATTTAGTCACATGACTATCAAGCCTCAATGCCTACACACGCAGCTCGTTTGTTCCGAACAACCCTGTTTGGTCAACAATTGCCACTGCTCGGAGTTACTTTTAATGCTTTGACATAGTGGCTTATAATAGTTCGCAACGCATTTGTACGCATGTCCTTGCCGGCAGGGCACTTGCAGTAGTGAGTCTTGTCATTTGTTAGGGTCACAAACTATGCCGAAAGAAAAAAACACGAAGGACCCGAACTCCGCCACAGTCGGACCTATTGTTTGCATAAACTACACAAATTGCCAACGAAAATGTATATGATTGGGCGATCAAATTCCTATTTGTATAACTTGTGGTTTGGCTAACCAGGCTCCCTGGGGCATTGCTCAAAATAGTAAGTATGCTAGTGACTCTGTAAAACTATTGGCTCACTGTATAGGAAGCTGGTTACTACGTACAATATATCTGTTACAACAGGGTTCTCTTCCCCGCATATACTTCCGTATCGAGTATCTACCAAGCCTTGATATCGGTACTTGATTACCGATTAGTAGTTGAGACCCTGCTTATCTGAACAATCGGCCTAATTGTTAAACAATCTTCAACAAATACCATGCTACTAATGCACGTGGTCCACGTCATGTTGCATGGAAAGACCGATAGCACTTAGCATTTTCGTAAAGCTCTCCACTTATTTCTGCGTGGATGGTCATGCAGTGGAGAGTTTCTCTAGTAAAAAAGAGGCAGGTATAGAAAGTCCAAAAAGATCGTTCTTTTAAAGGAATTTCAATACAACATGAAGTGGTCATGTGCAGGCCTGAAGATCGGCAGAGATATTGTGGTGGAGTAACCAGCGCGTAAGGTAAGAGAAGGCCCGAAATGTGCTCAAACATGGATATCATGTAAGGCGTGGAAAAAGGAAATAACAACAATAACGATAGATATACAAAGCACCGATCTGAATGTCTGAATGTTCTTCAGAGTTGAACAAAACACTGATTACATGCATGAATCACCCGCCCAGAAAGAGGTGACAAATGCCTCACAACGTGTACCAGATTTCAGAGAGAGAAATGGAGTAGTTGTCTTCTGCTTCTTGTTCTTGTCCTACCTGCCTAAGAAGATAACAAACCAAAAGTCCTCTTAATCTTGAAGAAAGAAATATTATCTTTTACTTCTGATAATATCCCGAGGACGCTTGAATTTTAGTACTAAGGAAGCTTTCTAAAATAATTTCTCCTCTTTCACATATTTCGAATCATCGCTTGACTTTTTTCCCTCTGTTTGCTATATAGCGTATTATATCAATTATCTTAGAAAAGAATAATAGGCTACACCCTAACCTACCAAAATTAGGTATTAAAAAAATTAATTTTATAGTTAAAGTNAAAGCGCTCCTATGCCTATATATTCGCTATATCGTCTTATCTCATCAACGGCACGAATCCATCAGAACTTGAACTTCGAATCATAGCAAATTTTTTGTATTTACTCTACTTTGGATGGTCAAAGTAGCAGTCAACACGAAGCCATGAAGTGTCTCGAAGATGTGATCCGACACCATGAAGCAAGATGTAAGCTATAATAATGCCATACTACTATAGAATCAATGCAGAAAAAAAAAGCCTCGTTCAAGTAAAAATACCAACATGCCCTACCATAACCAAGACACAGAAAACCATTCAACTCGGTGCTTTTCATGCCCTAAATATGGATAATATAATCTACCCTTGTCCCCCCAACTATGATATTCCCATTCCCATTCGCAGCAGCAAAGCCTGCAGCACTCTGGTTGGGTCTTGTACAGCCATCGATAACAGTAAGAAGTCCCAACGCAACATCTGAACTAAAAATGCCAAAAAAAAAACGTCAGCTATCCATACCGAAAAAAAAACATAGCATCTTCAATATCTGTACTTGCGGGAGATACGTGGAGAAATTGGATAAGAACAAAAAGGGGGACTCACCAATAACTCCTCTCAACCTCCTTCCCAATCCCTATCCCAACAACGCCAACACCCCCAATGCGACACAGCGTCTTCACTTCATGAAGCCTGAACTCGCAAAACTCAGTACCCAGTCTATGTATATACTTGTAGCAAGTGATGAGACTATCGACGTTCGTGTATGCGTCTTCAGGTCCGCATTGGGGATCTTTTCGGGGTCCTCTTTGGGGGGGTTCTTGGCCTGAGCGAAAATCTTGGATTGGTTAGTTTGACAATGTCCATATATATGCTATGAGATATGAAGATGTGGTGGAGGGGGTGGAGGAGGAGGAGGATTTACCTGTGGGTATGATGATGGGCAGAGGTAGATTGACGATGTCGGATGTGGTCAGGTTTAGAGATGCGAGGCTGGGGAGACCCGAGCCGGGGATGAGTTCGTGAGTTTCGGTGGGGAAGGCAGTTGCGTGGTGGGTGAGTGCTAGTAGGATAGGGACGAAGAAAGTAGTTAGGAAAGTCATGGTGAGTAGCTTGGTAATCCAAAAACTACTTCAGCACTGTGTTGATATGCTGATTGCTTGTTCTTCAGATTCATTCCGGGCAAGACGGTAACTTCTTATAGTAGATTCGGTAATATATCAAAGGGACTGTTTACCAAATTAGGAACTAGATGCTACATTTACGTTGTCTGCGGCTGAGCTCTTCGTTTGCTAGTGATGAAACGGCAGATATGTTGCCAATACGTTCTTGCATACGTTCTATGCATTAGTCTCTACTATGATATGCAGAACTAGATGGAATATACCAATCGTTGCTTCGGGCACTGTTTGCTGCTGACTACGGTGTGTAACCTGGATGTAGGTCACTGGAACGTATCTGCCAAACAGTTGCATGCTTGCTGAAACTTGGCGAGTACAAAAGTCAACCATGGCAGATCCATCACCAGGTGTCTATAACTTCCACTGCATGACCAATTTGGATGTTTGATAGTTGGACATGGTGGTAGAGGTCACTGTGATAGCTACGTTCTCAGGGTCCTTCCGAAAGCGCGAGCGTTATGCAACATTTATGCTAGGGGCGTGGGATGATGCGAAAATCTATATATTAATGATGCTTCGCGTATGAAAACGTATAGATGCGAATCGCTTATGCGTTTTGGTGTCTATTTATCCCTCCCTAGTCGCTCTTCATAATCATCTATCAGCTCATAGGCTGGTCTAAACTTGGGCTTTGACGTCCCATTTTCACTCTCAGTTTCTAGTGCTTGTGGTGAAGGTGACTCCTGCTCCAGCTTCGGGTTTGGATGTGTATCGGTGGTCCCACCTAACGAGGTGTATCCAAGATCGTAGAGAGAGCAGTACGGTATGTTGAGGTACCGTATAAACTGTATAGTGTTAGCCAGGCAGAGCAAGTCAAGTTGGTTGTGCACATACTGTCCATATCTCGGCGTAATGCCAGTCTATGACCGGATGTATCCGCACGAACGCAGGCCATCCTGAATCGGTCGGATCAAAATGCTTCAAATGTTCGCCATGGGGGTCGGTCCGGCGGGTGCCGACGAGTATCGCCTTGACGGAGGGCTGGTCTCGCAGATAGTCGGCAAAGGCGGCTTTCATAGGTTTCGCATATTCTAAGAGAGATAGCGAATATATCTTGCTACTGTGTGCGACAAATTCCTCGACCTCGGGAAAGGGATGGGCGTCTTGAATGTAGACGCACTGCACGACGGTCTCGGGGCTGGATGAGGTATCCGGAGATTTGGTCAAGCCGCGGCGGTGTATGGCGCAGAGGTAGAGTATGAGCAGGACCAGACAGTCCTTGCCGCCATTGTAGGATAGAGAGAGCTCAGGGAGACTGGATAGGTGTCAGCCAGATAGGCATATGGGCCCCACATTATCAAGACGCACGTGTAGCGGTCCAAGGCCTCGGCGAGTACTTGCAGCGACGTCTGCGTCTGCTGCTGTACATTTTTTACGCGCTGGGATACGTTCTGGGCGTCGAGAAAGGTGGTTATGCGGTCGTTGATGCGGGCGCACAACTGATGCAGGGGCAGCGGGGCGTCGGAGACGAGGGGATCTGGAAATGGAGAGGCAGACTTCATTGCGATAGGCGCGCTAATGTCAACATCCGGCACGGGTGAAAGCGGTTACGGAAGCAGAAGGAGAGGAGCCGTGTCGACGATTGGTCGTACGGAGAGTGCTGTGCTGTTTCAGACCACATGATGCCAGTATGTCGCACTGCCTGCAAGCCGAACAGGTGGAGGTTGGCTACCCTCGCTTATCGATAACGGCTGCCATCCTCGGCCCGTCCGAATGAGGCCTAGCGCCATGGACACTAGCCGACCACTCAGCGGAGGGCAAAGTAAGCATGCCATGGCGAATTGCACTGACGGTGAAGTTACGGCACTCCCACTCTCCCAAGCCCGCTTTGCGGATAGGAATTTGACAGATGACGCCCGGCTCTGGCCTCGCCTCGAGTCTGCCGTCCCAGCCTAGTCGGATCAGGTACCCCGAGCTACAATCCACCTGCATCTGATTCGTCGTCTGTCCGACGTCGCCCCAGATGCTGAATTGCACTAAAATATTGCGTGCTTTCGGCGTGCCTTGTCATGACCTCTTAAAGGGAATTTTTCCACTGCCGCTGTCGCTGATTATGAGGACTGTCGCCGACGGCCCGAAGCTCGACTACTACTACAACTGCTCGTCTCCCGCATAATCATTCCCTCGTTGTTACTGTCTACTTTGCAACGCTGCAGTCAACATGGGCTCGATTTCGACTGCAGGAGAGGCCGGTATGTCCCCCCGCAACCACGCGCCCCACCATTCTTCTACCCCAACACCCCCCATTGGGAACACTCACCTTTTACTTTTTTGACATGATTCATACTAACTCGGTTTGTTTGCAGTGGCTCGAATCGCCCACCAGGCCTCCGACGTAATTGTATCCGTCGTTCCTTCCCTCTCGACCGAGTCGGAATTCTCAGAGGCCTTGAAGAGCCTCCAAAAGCACAATGCACCTAGTGTTGTGTCCAAGACACTTCCAGAGGTATGCCAGAACGACCACCAACTTCACATCATGCAATTGACTCATTCTTCCTCAGGTCGTGACCGTCCGCCAAAATGCCGACCCGCTCCTCTCAGTCTTCCAGCCCATTCGCGCGGGTAAACTCACCAGCGTGACCACAACTTCCTCCATTCTTGTCAAGTCGATACCCCACCTCTACAAACTCGCCCAATACCCTGTCGTCATACATGTATCGGTAGCGCCTTCAGGCTACCCGGATTTCTCCGACATCACTTCCATCAGGCAGTCTGGCTTTGCCTTCATTCAATCTGAAACTCTACAGGAGTTGCAGGATCTTGCCCTCACAGCACATGCCTTGGCCGTCAAGTCAGGTAAGGGTGTCATTCACTTCTTCGACTCTGGCGCGAGCGCATTTAGGAAGACAGTAGAGGTGGAAGATGCAGCTCTGGTCCGGAGTGTCATTGACATGGACGCTGTGGCGGCTTTCCAAAACTCAAAGTCCCAGGAAACCTCGCTGTACGCGGATGATGGCAGGGCTCCTTCCCTGAGTTTTGCCCGCAGCCAGACCGTCAATGCCGCTCCTACCTCAGCACTGGCTGGTGCCCCAGACCAAAGCAAGTCGCTTCCGGTTTCGGAAAGAAACAGCCAGCGTGGTGACTCTTCTTCCGGATCATCAGTACGCGAGGCTAGCACAAGCGCCGCATCAGTGTCCTCCGCCACTACTGTTGAGTCCTTAATATCAAAACCTGTTTCCTCAGAAGACATCTACCGATTCGCCACACAAATCTGGTCAACCATAAGGGATGCTACTGGACGAAGCTACGATGCCTTTGCCTTTTCAGGTACAGGCAAGGAGGAGGCTGCTATCTTCTTGTTCGGTGCAGACACCGCTGTCTTTGCCACTGAGTTGGACAGTGTGGATGAGACCAAAGCATATGCCAACACGGCTATTATCACAGCTCGGTTATATCGGCCGTGGTTGGGCTCATCGCTTGCCCCTATGCTGCCTTCTTCGCTCAAGAGGATTGCTGTTATTGAGCAGGTTCGGAGAAAGACCACTAGGTGGGGTCCCGTGTTGCTCGACGTTCTCATGTCGCTCAAGGCGAGTGGCGGTGCATCTCCTACAGTCGTCGGATACCAATTGGGGTACATTAACGAGGAGACTGTTTCACAGGCAATGCGCGGTGTTTGGCAGAACCTCATGAGTGAGACACCTGTTCAGAACCTTGTCATTGGTAACCTTGATGGGCCCGAAGCACAGCCTACCAAGATTGAGCAACCAGCACTGGAGAACGCCTACATTAAAATTCTGAACCAAGTTTTTGGTGAAAAACTCCACGTAGCTAACCAGCTCGAATCACAGCACGCTGGTATCTCCAACGAAATCGCATCTACCCCAGAGTATGGCTTTGGATCGCTCGTTGCGCGCAAGGAGCACCGAAAGCGATTTGTTGAAGAGGCCGCTGCTGCTTCCAAAGACAACAAGTTCATCACTCAAGCACCACAGCAATGGCTCTCCAAATGGGCTCTTAGTGCTGACGACACCGACAAGGCCAATGAACTGGCTTCTGAAGTCATCGCCCGCTTAAGTACTGATGGTTCGCCTATTGCCAGCCAGCTACTTTCTTCCAAGAAATTGTTCTACAAGGAATCACCTTGGCTGATTGGGTCTGATGCTTGGGCTTACGACCTTGGAAACTCTGGTGTACACCATGTGCTAGCATCTGGCGAGAACGTCAACATGCTCATCATTGACTCTACCCCTTACTCGGAGCGCGCCGCTGCTGATGCGGCGAGGCGGAAGAAGGACATTGGATTATATGCTATGAATTTCGGCAACGCATATGTTGCATCAGTTGCGGTATACAGTTCCTACACTCAGGTTCTAGAGGCCATGATCGAAGCCGACAAGTTCAACGGACCCTCCGTTGTCCTCGCGTATCTGCCATACGAGAAGGAAAATGACACTCCTCTGACTGTCCTGCAAGAGACTAAGAAGGCCGTTGACCTAGGATACTGGCCACTCTACCGATGGGACCCCAAGGCCGAGGAGAAGGGCGAAGTAAACTTCAAGTTGGACTCTGAGCGCATCAAGAAAGAGTTGGAGGAGTTTCTCTCTCGTGATAACTACATGTCGCAGGTCATGAAGCGACACCCCGAGTTCGCATCCAACCTCTCTGGATCCTACGGAACCGAGGTCAGGCAGTTGCAGAAACGCAAAGCCAAGGACGCGTATAGCAAACTACTCGAAGGTCTTCAGGGCGACCCACTTACAATTCTCTTCGCTTCTGACAATGGCAACGCTGAGAATCTGGCAAAGAGGCTAGGAAACCGAGGCAAGGCTAGAGGACTCAAGACCATTGTTATGGCAATGGATGACTTCCCTCTTGAGGATCTTCCCAACGAGCAAAATGTCGTCTTGATGACTAGTGTAGCTGGTCAGGGAGAATTCCCTCAGAATGGCCGAGCCTTCTGGGAAGCCGTCAAGGACTCCACTGACCTGGATCTTGCAACAGTAAACTTTGGTGTGTTTGGTCTTGGTGACAGCCATTACTGGCCACGCAAGGAGGACAAGATCTACTACAACAAGCCTGCAAAGGATCTCCATGCTCGTCTTCTTACCCTAGGTGGCAAGCCTCTAGTCGACTGTGGTCTTGGAGATGACCAGGATCCAGATGCTTACCAGACCGCTTACGCGGAGTGGGAGCCGAAGCTCTGGGAGAAGCTAGGTGTCTCCAACGTTGAGAACCTGCCAGAGGAGCCCGCACCGCTTACCAACGAAGACATGAAGGCTGCCTCAAACTACCTCCGAGGTACCATCGAGGAGGGTTTGGCCGATACTAGCACTGGTGCTATTTCGGCAAGCGACCAGCAACTCACAAAATTCCATGGTACCTACATGCAAGATGACCGTGACCTCCGTGACCAGCGCAAGGCCCAGGGTCTCGAGCCAGCTTATTCTTTCATGATCCGATGCAGACTTCCTGGAGGTGTTTCGACGCCTAAGCAATGGCTACAGATGGACGAGATTAGCAGCACGCTTGGTAATGAGACCATGAAGCTAACCACCCGACAAACATTCCAGTTCCATGGTGTCGTCAAGGGCAAGCTCAAGCCTGCTATGCAGGCCATCAACAAGGCTTTGATGACCACCATTGCTGCTTGCGGTGATGTTAACCGAAACGTCATGTGCAGCTCTCTCCCCACGCAGTCCAAGTACCACGGTCAGGTCCACCGCTACGCGCAGAAGATCAGCGACCACCTTCTTCCTTCTACAACGGCATATCACGAGATTTGGCTTGAGGACGATGAAACGAAGCAGAAGCGCAAGATCGCCGGTGAGGCCGTTCAAGACCACGAGCCGCTGTATGGTCCTCTCTACCTTCCCCGAAAGTTCAAGATCACTATCGCTATTCCTCCACACAACGATACCGATGTATACGCTCACGACATTGGTCTCATTGCTATCAAGGGTGAAGATGGCAACCTTGAAGGTTTCAATGTGCTTGCTGGTGGTGGTATGGGTGTAACACACAACAACAAGAAGACTTACCCACGTACTGGATCCATGTTTGGCTACGTCACAGCTGACCAAGTGCATCTTGTTTGCGAAAAGATCATGCTTGTCCAGCGCGATCACGGTGACCGCAAGAACCGAAAGCACGCCCGTCTCAAGTACACCATTGATGACATGGGCCTAGACGTTTTCATCCAAAAGGTTGAGGATCTTTGGGGTCAAAAGTTCTCGGAGCCCAAGCCTTTCAAGTTCCAGAGCAACATTGATACCTTCGGCTGGCAAAAGGATGAGCTTGGTCTCAACCACTTCACTTTCTTCATTGAAAACGGCCGTATCGAGGACACTGCTGAATTCCCAATGAAGACTGGTCTCGTAGAGGTAGCCAAGGCACACAAGGGCGAGTTCCGTCTCACTGGTAACCAACATTTGATATTGGCCAACGTTGCAGATGAGGACCTACCAGCCATGAAGGAACTTCTCAAGAAGTGGAAACTTGACAACACGAACTTCTCGGGACTCAGATTGTCTAGTTCCGCTTGCGTTGCCTTCCCAACTTGCGGTCTCGCCATGGCTGAGTCAGAACGCTACCTACCCGAGCTCATCACCAAGCTTGAGGGAACGCTTGAAGAGTCTGGCCTTCGACAAGACAGCATTGTCATGCGTATGACAGGTTGTCCTAACGGTTGCGCTCGCCCTTGGCTCGCCGAGGTTGCGTTCGTCGGCAAGGCTTACGGAGCGTACAACATGTACCTTGGTGGTGGTTACCACGGTCAAAGGCTGAACAAGCTCTACAGGAGCTCAATCAAGGAAGATGAGATTTTGGAGATCATGAAGCCGCTGATCAAACAATATGCCAAGGAGAGGAATGAGGGAGAGCACTTTGGTGACTTTGTCATAAGAAAGGGTTACATCAACGAGACAACACACGGAACGAACTTCCATGACAACGTAAGCAGTTTCCACCACAGATGTCGATGAGAAAGATGGCTAACAATATTCTAGACTGCCGAAGCAGAGTCAGACGCAGAGTAAATGCGTTGACGTGAGACGAATTCCATTTGAATGATTGTCACGTTTTCTGGGTTATTTAAAATTTCAAGGCCCTATGTACAGATCCCTCGATTTCCTTCTTGTATTTGATTCCACTTTTTCTTCTGGATTTTTGGCGTAAAAGTGTTCAAAGTCCAATGTAGGCTATCAAAAAGAAACAAGCTGTTGCTGTGTAAATCCCGTTGGCAAATCGGAATTTCAATATAACCAGCAAATGCTAAATGAAAGTTGTTGCAAAACAATCGGATAGTCGAGGTCTACATCAGAGTAACTGATTTAGAATCTGTATTCTTGGGTGCTCAAGCTGGATATTGAACAAGGGGCAAGAATAATGAAACCCATTTTAATAGAAGATGATGAAAGTGCATGATGAAGACAGATAACATTAATCATTACCTCCATACCTAAGGACTCAACCTTTCAATCTTCCACTCTGCGTCCTTTGTTCCCTCTCCCCCAACCTTCCTATACACAAACCGATCATGCAACCGACTCGGCCTTCCCTGCCAAAACTCCACCATCTCAGGCACAACCCTCAGCCCACCCCAGAACTCCGGTACAGGAATCTTGTCTTTCCCCTCAAACCTCTTCTCCACCTCCTCCACTCGCTTCTCCAACTCCTCCCTGCTCTCAATCACACTACTCTGCCGACTCGCCCAGGCGCCAATCCGCGAGCCGCGAATGCGCGTATCGTAGTAGACCTGTGACTCCTCGTCGGTAAGCCGCTCAGTGCGCCCCTCAACCCTCACCTGGCGCTCGAGCTCGCGCCAGTAAAACGTCAGAGCCGCATGCGGATTACTGCGCACGTCGCTGGCCTTGCGACTCGTGTCCCAGTTCGAGTAGATGACAAAGCCGCGGTCGTCGAGCTCCTTCATGTAGACGACGCGGGCCGAGACCTTGCCCGAGGGGAGCTCGGCTGTGGAAAAAGTGACGGTTTCGGGCTGGTAGACGTTGTTTGATTGGGCTTCTTGGAACCATTTGTGGAACTGGTCGGTGGGGGAGGGGAGCAGGTCTGCGCGGTCGAGGGCGCCTTTTGTGTATTGTGTTGCGTGGCCTGGGTCGTCGGAGTTTGAGGTTGGTGCGAAGATTTTTTTCGCGGATTCGGTAGCTGAGTGCAGCATTGCGCTTTTTTCGGTGTTGTTGTTACTGCTGCTGCTCCTGTATGCTCGGTGTTGTTGGAATATGGGTTGTTGGTGGTGTACTATGTGGCTCACGAGGCTGAAGGTTGTTTTTTTAATGCTGATTGTTCGGCAAGAGGAGAGTTTTTGTATTTGACGTGTAAGCATTGGAGGATTCTAGTATTGGGGAAAAGGATTGAGGGTATCACGAGACTTTTTGGTCGAAATCGCGTGACGAGGTGCACAGATGAGTCGTTCTTGCGATCGGAACAAAGTGGGGGTGACGTAACGGATTGCTAGCGCGGCATCTGTGAGCGCAACATGCTGGTGCACATGAGATAGCAATATTTTTAGTATAATGCTCAATGATTCTGGTGTTTAAATTAAGTGGAATTTGAAAATTCAGATAGAGTTTCTCAACTACGTTTTCCAAGCTTCTCACCTAAGAATCTAGAAATTACCTGTGAAGAACTTATCGACTGACTGCAATAGCCTATTACATCCATAGAGAATACAGTCATAAGTTCCTCAAGACGATGAAATCAATGTTGATCGCTAGATGTATATGTGCTGCACCTGAAATCATTCCATTACAACTGTGGTGGTTCACACTACGCCAGAGCCAAAGAAGGGACTTTGATGATATTGAACTGAATACGTGAAGCTCGTTACAAAAAATCATTTGGAACGTTTTGCAGCTTCTAACCAGTTGCCATCCAAGCGTCGAAATAGTGGTCATCCCTTATCAAATTGGGAGACGGACTGTTATTTGGAAAAAGATGAATATCATCTTGTAAGTGACAAGGAGAACTAACATTGTGTCGAAAACAAAAGGACCGATAGACTACGCGGTCAACCAAGAGGTCGGAATTGCACTGACTCAATACTGTTGCTGTCTCATACGATTGCTGATTGTTGAAAAGGGATAGGCGGTGAGGTTGCAGCCATGCCCATTTATGGTCCACTTGGCACGAGATGGTATACAGAATGACAAAACCCTATAACTTAGGGCCAACTTTAAATTCAACAGCCACGCTATGAACGAAGACGTGTCGAATGCAACGCAGAAGGGTTAAGCGACACGTAAATCCTGCTGCGCCTGACTCAATGTGGCTAGACTGACCTTGAGTGAGCTGGTAGTGCGGGGCGTACATTCAGCTCCAGACAGCCATTTGTCTAGTAAACACTGACTGACACATTAACACTGAAAAAAAGAGCCCATACAGGGTATTGTAACGTCAACTATAATGCACAATCCCAGCTCCTATCAATACGATCTTGGTTCGTATACTCGAAAGATCACCACATCCGCCCCGCACGCTCAGACATGGTTCGACCGGGGCTTTATCTGGAGCTATGCATTCAACCACGAGGAATCCGCCCGGTGTTTTGGGAGAGCAATCGAAGAGGACCCAGAGTGCGCCATGGCATATTGGGGTGTATGTATACAACCTGAACTTCACAATAGTGCACGGATTGACACCTGATTATGGTAGCTCGCTTTTGCTCTCGGGCCGAACTACAATAAACCTTGGGACTTATTCGATGAGAAAGAGCTCGAGACAACACTGGAGAAGATAAACGAGGCAAATGAAAAAGCTAAACAGTATACACACGGTAGGACAGGTCCAGAAAGAGCTTTGATCGACGCGATACAGGTACGCGTTCCCAAGGACCTGAACGAAGCCGCGTTCATTGCCTGTAACGAGGAGTACGCAAAAGCTATGGAAGACGTCTATAGGCAATTCCCTGAAGACATGGATATCACTTGCCTCTACGCCGATGCTCTCATGAATCTCTCAGCATGGAATCTATGGGATCTCAAGACGGGTGAAGCCACCCCTGGGTCACATGCACCCAAGGCAAAGGTCATACTGGAAAAGGCCCTACAGGACGTTAGCTCCCAGGAACACCCTGGTCTGCTCCATTTGTACATCCATCTGATGGAAATGTCAAAGACGCCAGAAGCAGCATTAGCCTGTGCAGATCATCTGAGAAGAGTTACCCCGGATGCCGGCCATCTGGTCCACATGCCAAGTCACATCTGGATCCTGGTTGGTGATTACGGGCGTGCCATTGACTCGAACGCAGATGCGTGCTTGGCAGACGAGAAGTACGTCGCCGAACATGGGACACAGAACTTCTACTCCTTTTACATGATGCATGACTATCATTCGCTTATATACGCGGCAATGTTTGCGGGGCAGTACAAGGTTGCAATGGATGCTGTCAATCGCATGGAAGCCTCGCTACCTGTGTCACTCCTGCGCATTGAGAGCCCACCCATGGCAGACTGGCTCGAGAACTTTTCGTCAGTACGCGTCCATGTGCTAGTGCGCTTTGGGCGATGGGCAGAACTGATTGCACTTCCAATGCCCGACGATACGAGTTTACATTGTGTTACAACGGCCATGATTCATTACGGCAAGGGAGTTGCTTATGCCGCTACTGGTGATATCGAGAGGGCACAGAAGGAACGTGCCGCCCTGATTGCAGCGGTAGAGCGGATACCGTCCTCCCGTATTTGCGGGGACTTTCCAAACAAATCGAATGTAGTGCTCAAGGTCGGGATAGCAATGCTAGACGGCGAGCTCGAGTATCGGAAGGGTAATTTTGAAGAGGCCTTCAAGCATCTTGAAACAGCTATTGACCGGGATGATGGGCTTACCTAGTAGGAATTCCACCTCGTTGATGAGCTGTGAGTGAGTATACTGACAAAGGGACCCTTTAGTGCTGAGCCGTGGCCCTGGATGCAGCCGACCAGACATGCGTACGCCGCCTTGCTCATGGAGCAGGGCCGAATAGAAGATGCAGCAGGAGCATACAGGGCTGATCTAGGGTTTGACGACACGCTGCCTAGAGCGAGGCAGCATCCGAATAACGTTTGGGCATTACACGGCTACCATGAGTGTCTGCTGAAGCTGGGAAGGGTCGAGGAAGCAGGGATCGTAGGGCAGCAATTGCGGATCGCGCTTGCTGTAGCGGATGTAACTATCGACGCCAGCTGCTACTGTCGGCAGGGTGGGAGGGCATAGTAGGCGAGTGGGTACATTGATGGCTAGAGTAGGACCGGGCGCGACTATCACCAACAATGGCGTCTCTGGTTCTGTTTCCACTTGGGTGCTCACACCCTGATGATGGTTGAGGGCGATCTCCCAGCATCGTGGGGACATTCCTATGTGGTATAGGCGGGAATGCCTTGAATCGATTCATGGTTCGCAGAGAGCTTGGCTTGATTTGCATGGTCGGATGGCGCACCCCCCCGATTGCATTGTGCAATCGGATGACCGCGTATGTGGCTGTGATGGTTCCCCTTTTGCTTGATTTGCTAATTGCGTATAACAGGCGGCTTGGGTGTGCGTTGGAAGCTGGGTGCGATGGCATGCAGAGGCAAAGGGGCGACGCGCAGGACGACGTGCCGTGTATCTGGACCAGCCACGGATGAGAGGGGGTCGGCTGTTGTTGAGCCGCGCTGACTCGTCCAATCACGACGATCTGTCACCCCGGCACTTGGATAGGCGTTTCACGATCTGATGCTAACCAAGAGCAGAAGGTCGCCGACTCCGTCCGCAACTGCATCCTTGCACTCCCTGCTCCCACGTTGTCCGCCGTCACCGTGCTTGATCTCGCTTAGCAGAAACCACAGGATATGTCATCCCAACACAGCATCTCGCAACCATCCATCTTTACCCGGCAGTTCCTGCACGAATGTGGGCCCCTCACCCATCCTGCGCTCCACGAGAGCCCTCTCCACCAAGCCACTCGCCTTGACAGCCCTGCAACTCAGGCCAGCCGGTGGATCCAAAAGGCCCCAGGCATCCATCGCGGCCCCCGGAACGTAGTCTCCGACTCTCAATGTGACAGCGGCAGTTGAATCATTAAGCCGTTAGGTGCCCAGCTGATTAAGGCTTCTCTTTGTATGCACTGTCATGGGTCTGGATCCTCACAAATTGCGCTTCTCAACTCATCTGTGATCCTTCGCCTTATTCGGCCTAGGGACCATGATTGCTGAGGCTGGCTAGCTGCTAGCATGGCGAGATTGCTCTAACTCGATATCCCCTCGTCTCTCTTTGGAGGGATGAGAGTTGGGATCAGCGTTGGCTGAGCTGTGCAAGTTATGGTTTGAACGCGGGTGGGCACTCTCCCTCCCGTGTCAAGAATAGCGCCGTGGGCCGCGCCTCTCCCTGGCCACCCATTCATTGAGACCTGCCGAAACGGACTGTTTGACTCATTACGATGGATACCCAATGCTCTGGCACCACAATATATGGAGCATAACTACTCCAAATTCTGCTGCGACTTGGGTCTGAACCAGATTTCCCCGACATTGCGCCATCACCATGGAATCACTACACGAGAACAGGGGGCCGGTGCTGCAAGCGGTATGTAGAATCTATGACTACAGACTCCAGATTCACAGAACTGACGGTAGCAGGTGTGCTCCACATTCGTTTCTCTTGCCTTTGTAGCCACTCTTCTAAGGGTCTATACACGAACTCGCATCGTCAAGGCCTTCGGCGCTGATGACTGGTGGATGATGGCTGCACTTCTTTTTCATGTCATGTTTGCAACGTGCGCAATAGGCGGTATTCATTATGGCACTGGACGCCATATGAGCACACTTACGAACGAGCAACAGTTCAAAGCTCTTCGGGTAACGCCCTCGAACTTGTAACTTCGCCGGCGCAAAGGCTAACAGTAGTTGTAGTATTGGTGGCTATGCTATATCGCCTACTGCTGGGCAATGATCACGTCCAAAGTTTCCATCGGTCTCTTCCTTCTGCGCGTCACTGTCCAAAATCTCCACAAATGGATCATCTACATCGCCATGGCCCTCACAATGCTCACTGGATTGGTTTTCTTCTTCGTCACACTACTGCAATGCACCCCAATCTCCTTCTTTTGGGACAGACAAATCAAGGGCGGCTACTGCGTCAATGTGGACATCATTATTGGCCTGACATTCTTGTACAGCGCCATCTCAGTTATTAGCGACTTTACCTTTGCCATCTTGCCCTTTTTCCTCATCTGGTCACTGAACATGTCCACCAAGACGAAGGCCATGTTGATTCCAGTCCTGGGGATGGCTTGCGTGTGAGTAGAACCCACTTCCCTGTCTTTGGTTCTACAGTTGCTGACCCATGGCCCCTCAGTGCAAGTGTAGCAGTTGTCGTCCGCATGGCCTACGTCATGGACTTTAAAGATCCAGACTTCTTGTGGGCTACAGTGGATATTGCCATTTGGTCCGATATCGAGCAAGGACTAGCCATTACCGCCGGTTCCCTTGCCACTCTGCGTCCCCTCTGGCGAGAAATCGCGACAACGCTTAACCTATCATCAGCTTTCAGCCCCTCTACGCCATCCGGTATGCGCACACCACAATGGAACGGCGACCCGACTTCGAGCCAGTCCCGCAAGAAACCCTCCATCTACAGCATGACGAAATCTCTCTTCCAGACCGAAAAGGGGGGTCCGTCAAAGGAGCTCGACGAAGACTACGGCATGGGCAACCTTGCGCCCATACGGCTACGAGATGATCTCTCTGCTGAGAACGAGAAGACGGACAAAGGGTTCTCCACATGGCGGATAAAGGGCGGAGGAAGCAAAATTTCAGACGAGGAGTGCCGCATAGGTGAAATCACACGGGAGACGTACATTGAGCAGGAGCGCGCAAACCGATGAGATGTCTGGTTCCTTCGCGAAAAAAAAAAACAAAGTCCAAAGATACGACCAAAAAAAAGCCAACAAAACAAACCGGATTAATTTAATTTGATGCCAGCGACGAAAGCGACATATAGATTTGAAGCAGACACACTTCTGCGAAAAAACCGTCTCGTTCTTTTGACGGGATGCAAAAATAGTTAATACTACATACAATAGAAAGCCAATAATCTCAACTATCAAAACAGACAAACATTTCAATCCAGTGACTTTTGCAAAGAAATGTCTAGGTCGAATTTGTCGTGGCAATAATCTCTCCCACCTGACCGACTGACAGCTCCATACTACTACACCCCATAGCCCTAAAAGCCCTCAAGCTCAAGGCCCGTCGCCGCGGCGGCAGCTCCCGAAACAAAAAGTCTGCTAAGAAGGGAAAAAAAGGAAGCAACCGCCACCAAACCCCAAAAAAACTTCCCGAAAGAAGCAGGATAGGGCAGAAAGAAACAGCGCCAAACAGGAACCAAAAAAAACCAGGGTCTAGGCTAGGACCCTTGGATTCATTTTTCCCCCCTTAGTTCCAAATTTTTCCACAAAGAAATAAGTTCCGCTCCGCGGAACGGCATATTTGGCCCCGACTACTTTTACTTGAACCTCACTCTTGCTGAATAAGAATTTTGGGGACCCATTTTTGCCACATGTGAAGCGAGAAGCGAGAAGCCAGGGGGGAAAAGGAAGCTTCGTCTGTGGTTACACGAAGGAACGATTTTTTTTAGCGTTGACACACAGACGACGGCAAAGAATGCCGAGTCCGATTCCCAAGTGTGCAACAAATGCCAAAGAAAAAGAAAAGAAAAAGGGTTAGAACAAAAATCGGAGGGGTGGGAAGCTACAAGAATACGAGGATAGAAACTATTTGTTTTTGGTTGGAAGAGGGGGAGATGGAAAGAAAAAGAAAAAGAGCGGGATCAACGGACATTACCCGTTTTCGCGCGTAAGAAGTCTTCGACTTGTTGATCAGACGGCTCGACAGGACTATGGGTAGTAGTTTCCGTCGCTTCTGTCGCTACTGATGATGAAGAGGAGGAGGAGGTTGAGGTCGGCGATTCAGGAGGGCTAGCACTATCCTGTGCCGGCGTACAACTAGTAGAGCTAGCGTCATGGACGGGGAGTGTTAGTCGTGCACCATTTCGAGGCGATGAGTCCGAAGGTGACGACGGCGCCGGGCACCCCCTAGATGCCGCTGCTCCACTAATGCTGTCAGCTGCAGTCTCCATATCTGCTCCACCACACTGCGGATCCTGTCCGCTTTCTGCGGTGCTATTATTTCTGCTGTGTTGTTGAGAATGCGGCTGCGGATTGCTAGTTCGTTGGTTCGACGGCGTCAGATCACCGTGGAAGGGTCTCGATTTGTTCTCTGCAGCCTCCTTGTCCACTTTCCATATGCCGGCTTTGGGGTCAATCGTAAAACCCTGTGGGTCACACTGGACCAACTCCTCAAATATAGGGTCCTTGTCTACTCGCTTGAAGAAGACGGGGGTAAATGTCTCGCCTTTTGCTTGCTCGTCCTTACGCATTTGTCTTTGACCATTTTCAACTTCGCTCTTCGCCTTGACAACGCCCCTCATATCACCTCTGCGTAATGCGGAGATGACGTGTTGCCATGCCTTTCTCGACTCCCATGGATCTTGCTCGGACAGGTCAGGGACGTCCATGGGCTGTTGCTTGATGCTGCGTACGTCACAGGTTTCGATTTCTGTGCCGCTACGTGCATCCTTGACGGTAAAAGTGCTGTTCCATGTGCCTTCAAGGATGTAGATGATATCAGAAGGGTTATCCTTGTGGAAGAAGCGCGCATGAAAACTATTCTTTTGTCCAAACCCGAGCAGTGATTTGCCTTCAAAGTGTATATGCGATATGTATCCATTGGAGCAGATGAGCGAGTAATCGCCGTAGAGTTCGGGGTGCGGAACGCCACTAAGGAGACCTTTGACTTTGATGCTGGGCAAAGGAAGTAGATAGTCTTCGTCGTATTTATCAACATGGACTAATGCGTAGCCCTTCTGCTTGATAGCCACGTTCCCGTTGAAAGTGATTTCCTGCTCAGTGAAACCTTCGGCGCGAATACCGACATGGTTATTCCACAAATAGCATGCAGTGACTGGCGGGTGATGTCCGACCTGCTCAGACACCAACCTCGTTTCGCCCAGGTCTTCCATGTTCCAGCCCCCCATGAAAATTTCTCCAAGAAAGGCATTCAAAGGTTTCTTAACGCCGTCCTCTTCCCTTCGTCCTCCATACTGTTGGCCGCGTAGTGAACAAAGAAAGTTCTTCAATACGAGCAATGCCCGCTTTTCTGGGTTTTCCTCAGTTGCCGGTGCAGCCCAAAGATACGGGTGATCTGCCCAATACTGTGGTATCTCCACGGTTGAGTTGTCTGCGAGTACGAATGGCGGTGCAGTAATATTTGACAAATCTCCCGAAATGGTCGCAATGGACGCCAAAAATTCCTTCAGGCCAGACCTATTGTGGGTGATATCGTTTGACATGTTCAGGTGTTTACAATTGGATTGCTACCGGTTATTGTGATATCACAGTAATTAGACCTGCCAGTGGTACGTAGTTATGCTGACGGTAAGCTGGGCTGTGGCGGTGCCAAGTCATGACGTCAATGTATACTAGTGTAGACGGGTTCAGGCGGCCTGGCGGTGCAGCAATGATTCGGGCGCACAATCGAGATTTCGTGGCGGTTGATCGCACAGACTGACGCGGTCGCATGCGTCAGTCAGGTTTCTCTGCATCTGCAGTACTGCTTGGAGCGAAGTTTGCCGGCTGTGCCCTCTTATGATCCTTCTTTGCCCCTGCCACTCTTGTTCCACTCGGCTGTACTGCTCTCATATCAACTATACCTCGGCTGGGTCTTGTGTAGATTCCTCGGCGCATACGTGGAGTGGTGTCATATGACAATGTAACTCTTGATAAACGTCTATGCTCATCTCATCCGATGGTTTGATCCGAGACGGATTCTGATTTTGTTTCACCGGAGTTGAGTTGAATGATAATTGTTGATGATGATTATTGTAGTCGAGGTGATAGTTTCTTTGGCCTGTCGTCGAACATTATGTAGTTAATTGGTTGGAAGGGGGGGGGCGTGTAATTGTTCGCCAAGATTACCTCATAAACGGCTATCGCCTACCGCATTTGAACGAGCCCGATACGCCACCCCAAGCTACCAAAACATTTCCCGAGACAACATTTAACGATAAGTGTATTAAGTGCATCCATCTAGGAGCAGTGAAATATGCTAGAAATATGTTTACAAAAGTGTAAAACGAAACTTAAAATCCTGGTCAATTACGCTTTGTTGCCCATACCCAATCCCAAAAACTCAAATAATATAGGGTTTCCTGCAACAGCTATATACGCAATACCTAAAATGCGTTAGCGTGTGCTTGCAAGAAATCATGGTTGACATACCAGTATAGACGATCAGCTTTGTTACAACTTCGACGTCGTAGCGAACTCGTGGCTTCGTAAGCATCATGAAAATCTCGCGCTTCTCATTCTCCTCTTCAGATGGCTCGTGTACGGTTTTGCAGATACCGCTTGCAGTATCTGTATCACTCTCTGGTGGTGTCAATGTATTGGTATCGGGCAGTTGCACCTTACCCGTGCCCATCATCTGTTCGTACGAATGGACGCGAGATGCCATTGGCGTTGGCAGCAGACGTGCACCAAGGAGGGGGTCCGATTTCTCTGCATTGGGTGTGTCGGGCATCGCTGGGCTTGGTACCCATGCCGAATTCTCTGGAACAGCACCGTCTATCGAGTTTACGCTTTCACGGCGCCTGCGGTTGCGATACGCAAGCGTCTCATATGCATCTGCAGCGGATTGAGGGCCAACCGAGACGGATCGCTTGCGTGGTTGAGCGAGATTCTTCAACATGTGCGGCAGCTCAGATGCAGGCGGAATGACATTATCGTCATCTGCAAAAGGTTTAATCGAACTGTACTTGGACGCATTCAGGAAGAATGCGCGAGGCATGTTCCAGCGAGCCTGTTCAAGCAGACGGAAGATTGGAGGTAGTATGGTGAACAGGGCAGGCTTCATGGTTGCTCTCCAGACAAAGATGACAACGACGCCCAAGAGGATTCGAATGGTTGCTTTGAGCAAGCCCATCTCGTGCAAGTCGAAGGGGACCGAGGAGGGATATGCGTCTTGCAGGGCATAGCCCGTTTGGGCATAGTGCCAGGCACCAAGGTTTATGCCGATAACGACGCCAGCGAATGAGACGCTATCGTCGTAGCAGGGGCAGTCGTCGGCGGGCTCCGGATGGACGCGGACGAGAACACAGACTACCAATGTCGCGATGAAAATGTGCAGTGTGCTGCCACTAAAGACCCACGAGTCCATCCAGTCGCCGTAGACGAGCTGGAAGGTGGTGATGAGGGCCCCCATAACACTACCTACTATGACGTCGAGGAATCCGTGCATGCCGCAGTAGAGGCGGCCGGCTATGATGGACAGTGCGTAAAAGTAGAAAAGGGCCTGGAGGCCCATCTTGAGGTTAGCGTTGTCCTGCTGGGCCGACTGGCGCAACGTGTAGATGGCATAAAAAGCCACGGAGACGGCATTGGCAGAGTGCGACGAGGGGAAGCCGTATTCGAGCGCAGCCGAGCCTGACATGGAGATACGGGCGAGAGGAGGTGAGAGGGGGCGGGGGAGGCAGAGCAGGTCCTTGAGGAAGCCGGTGCTGTAGACACCCGCGGCAAGCATGAAGACAGTCCTGTGCACGTCAGCCATTGCAGCGCAGTCAAGGACAGCAGCGCACGACATACGCTCGGCCGACACTGGTGTAGCCACACCAGAACTGGATGGGCAGGAAGACCATGAAGAAGGTGTGGGTGCCGAGGTTTGCGGTATAGGCAAAGTAGGAGTCGAGGAAGGGCGAGCGCAGCTTATCCTGCAGTAAGGCCAGCCACGGCGTCTCCCAGCGCACAATGGGGATGAGGCGGTTGCGCAGGGCATTGCGCCATTTGGGAAGCTGCTGGGCGTAGTGGTCGTGGCCCTTGTTGCCGGCGTCCAGCTTGGGTTTTGTCATGGCTGGCGGCGGCGGCGCCTCATGTTGCGGAGGCATGGCGGCAGCGGGGAAGAGGAGGAGGAGACGAAGGAGTCGGGCGCGCCAGTCGCTTGTGCATGTCCAGGCGATTGATGCTGGGCGGGGGCGGTTTTGTCGTCGTGGTGGTGCGTACTTGCAGCCGGCGTGGTCGTGGCCGTGGTCGTGGTGGTGACAGTGAGTGGTCGGGTTGGTGGTGGTAGGGCTGTGCGCCCGCCGTCTGCCAGGCCACGGAACGAGCGACGAGGACAGGCGGGCGTTGACACTCGGCGCTAGCTTAGCGAGCCGCTGGCGCTGTAGCGCGGTTGCCATATGCGACCGAGTGCTGCCAACAGTCAACATGCGCCTCTCTTAAGCCCCGACCACTCGCTCCCCACACGCTCTCCCGCTCCAGCTCTGCTCTGCTTTGTTCTGTGTGTCTTCATTCATACCCTCTCCCTGCTCACCATCCCGTGCAGCACCAGCCCGCCCACCACCACCATCTCGCCAGAGATACCACCACATACGCCCCATACGCACAATGGCCGCCACCTCGCAAAACTACGACTACCTGCGGCGCAAGCAGAGCACAAAGTCGCCCGTCTCATCAATGGGCCCTGTCCGCGGCCATGCACGCACCCCCAGTGAGCGCAACAGCAATGGCACCGTCAGTTCATACGGCACTACCAACACGCGCGACACAGCAATCACCGAGCCACCCGCCTACTCGAAAAAGCTCGTTGTTGTCGGCGATGGCGGCTGTGGAAAGACGTGCTTGCTCATCAGCTACAGCTCCGGCAACTTTCCAGAGGTACGTCCGCCTGCAACGCTGCCAGCAGCAACAGCAACACAAAGATCATCATCATCATCATCACAGAGACTAATGCGCCCCAGAAATACGTGCCCACCGTCTTCGAAAACTACATCACCCACACGCCCCATCCGCCCTCGGGCAAGATGGTCGAGCTGGCCCTATGGGACACGGCCGGCCAGGAGGAGTACGACCGATTGCGCCCTCTCTCCTACCCAGAGACAGATGTCATCTTTGTCTGCTTTGCAATTGATTGCCCGAATTCGCTAGAAAACGTCATGGACAAGGTAAGAGAGCTAGCTGAGCCAGCACATCCATGCATGCACTGACACGACTCAGTGGTACCCCGAGGTTCTCCACTTCTGCCCAACCACACCGCTCATGTTGCTTGGCCTCAAATCCGACCTGCGCAACAAAAAGAACTGCATCGAGCTCCTCAAGACACAAGGCCTGACGCCCGTCACCTCGGACCAGGGCCGTGCCGTGGCCGAGAAAATGGGCGCCGTCTACATGGAGTGCAGCAGTAAAGAACAAGACGGTGTCGAGGAAATCTTCGACATGGCCGTCACCATGGCCGTTGGCGACGAGCACAAGGAGCAACAAGACCGCCGCCTCGGCACTGCAAACTCAACATCAAGAGGAAACACAACGACGCCCCTCCCCGCTGGTGGTGGCAAGAAGAAGAAGCGCAGCGGCTGCACCGTCTTGTAATCTCCATTTGACGACGCTGGACGATACGATCAATATGTTTTAATGACCACACGCTGCCCGCCCTCCCTTACTGTCCTGACATGTCTCTTCCTTCCAACACATCCTGGTTGAGTCTTTTCATGTACATGTTTTGGGGGCGTTTTTGGTTTTTCTTTGGCACGACAATGGACATAGCGAGTCCAAACGCCAACAATATCATTTCCCTTTTTCTTGTATCTGTATTCGGTATTTAGTATGAGCGCATAGCGAACCTGCTTTCTTGGCTTTGCCTGCGCCCAGGGAGTAAATGAAGCGCAGTCTTTTTTTTGAACCATGCTCGATTTCCAGCCCTATGACAAGCATTTTACTAGTGGTGACTTGCTCAGGGGTATCATTGCATCATCTTCCCGTAACGCCTTGTTCAGGTTTAAATGAACCATTTACCGTGCGCAACACTGCGCGGCGTCTTGCCGTATCCTCGTTATATTATCAACAGGGGTCCTCTGCTCTTTCATTTCCTCTCATCGGGCACCTCTGTCTCGCCTTCATGCTCAGTGGCCCCCTCTTGCGTGCTCTCCTGCTGTTCGTTGGGGTCCTTGGCCATGACATTCTCAAAGTGACTCCACAGCGACTCGACGGGCGCGAATTCGTTGCCCACCGACGTGATTTCTTCGAGCGAGCGGTTGAGTTTGTTGATATTTTGCAAGACGACTTCTAGGCTCTGCGACCATGGTTAGCACGCAAGCGCTAGATTGTTGCAGCGACATTGGCGGGCCACAATGTCGGTGTGCAGGCCGTAACATTGGACGCACTTGAGCAATCTCCGTCACCAGCATCTCGCGCTGCTGCTCGAAATATGTCTTTGGTGTCGCTCCCTCCTGGCCATTCGTAGATCCTGCAAAGTACGGTGGTGCCATGATGCTGCTGCCGCTGTGTTGATATGTCAAAGGCGAGCCTGTCGCGTCCGCCTCCGGTGTTGCGGGGACCTTGCCCTTGTCACGCTAGCTAAGCGAGGCTGCTGAAAAGTCGAGCTTTACCTTTAACTCTTTCCTTTCTCCTCACGACTTTCACCATGAAACCTCACAAGTGACAGGTAAGCAAAATCTTTTTTTTTCGCTCCTTGCTTTTTGCGCCTTACATGATGAATACCCAATAATCTGTCAATCCCCTGACTCCCACAAGATGGGACCATGGTGATTCAATATTGTATTCACACTCTGATCCTCTAGCCAACTCAGCGTCTCACCTCACCGCTACATTGACCTATATGAAACTAACCTTTGCCTCGCTTCAGATCACACAATGGCGCAAGCGCCAGCACCCAACCCAATCAAGGAACCATTTCCCATCTCCCTCGTCGGCGGTCGCTACCTCCTCTTCGATGTGGACGTCATTGCGCACTGCCGTCGCGCGCACAACATCTGCGGACTCTTGGTGGGCACGATCCCGAACCTCAGCCAGCAGAACGTTTTTCTGGGCGTACCGCTGGAACTTATGCCGGAAGAGGCTCGGGTACTCGTCGATAAAGGCGCTGCGTATATCGTGGATGATGCGCAGTTTCATGAAGAAAACTTTGCGAAGATGAGCAGAGAGGACAGACTCAGGTACATGGCTGAGATGGATAAGAGAGGAGAAGAAGTAGCCAAGGAACAGAGGGAGGCTGCAGAGAGGAGGAAGGAAAGGGCCCTGCGCGATAAGGGTTTAAAGACAGACAACGCCAGTCTTGCTGCAAGCCCGGTGTCTGAACAAACGCTCAAAGTGGATGACTCAAGTCTTTCAGGCTCCCGTCTGGGCTTCATCATGAAAGGATCGAGCTTCTCCGACTCATACATGCCAGTGGAACTCGCCAGGGTCGACCCAAGCCCTAGTACTACCAGCAGTTCCAGTCCTGTTAGTTCAGAACCCAGCACTTCTGATCTTGCGCATTCTGGTCTTGGGTTCATCATGAAGGGCTCAAGCTTCTCAGAGTCATGGGTACAAGTCAAACCACCAAAAATTGACTCTCCTGCGCCTGTAACTGTGTCTGTAACTGCCTCAGTTCCCGCACCTGAAGAGTCTCTCTTTGAACCAGTGTCTGTTCCTACTGAACCTGAACCTTCTACCAAGAGCAACACTGTGAAAGGTGTTGCAGGTCAGAAGCACTTCGTTACGCCTACAACCTCATATCCACCGCTGGCGACTCCTGCCAAGGAGACTGCGGCCCCTCCCCCAAAGGTACCGGACAGTTACCCATTGTTCCGGTACCTGCACTCTAAAGGCTACTATCACATGCCTGGCCTGCGCTTTGGTTGCCATTACAACGTGTATCCTGGCGACCCACTTCGCTACCACAGTCACTTTGCTGCGACTGGTCTAGGCTGGGACCAGAAGTTTGAGCTTCTGGACGTGGTTGGTGGCGGGCGCCTCGGTACAGGAACGAAGAAGGCCTACATGATTGGCGGCGAGGATCCGGAGATAGACGCAAACGAGAAGGAGCCTGTCAGGGCCTTTTCCGTCGAGTGGGCGGCCCTCTAGATGGCATCGCCGAGGATTAGACCGATGAGGATTATGATTTTACGAATGCAATGCTAGATTAGAAGAAAAATAAATTCCATTTCAACGTACGCTGCAGCAGCTCTTCAGACTCTCAAATTAGTTGTGAATATGCCCTGAGTCTTCAATGGTAACAGGCCCATGTGCGATACTTCCTGTTATGCATTCTGCTTGGGTAGTATTGAGCTCACAGGCCAAGTACAAAGTATCGAGATAAAAAACATGCCGCGGCCTAAGGTTCTTTGCAGATGCGATCCACCAATAAGGCGAGTGCAATTTGACCCCGCTAATCGACCCCACGCGAGCGGTTTGCCAAAAGTTCGTGACAATGCATGCCATCCCATGCGCCACGCCACAACAGCGCCATGGCTTTGCATGACTTGTTGGGCCAGCTGCCAGCTGGTAAGTGATTTGAATTCGATTCTGATATCTATTATTGACTTTGGCATAGAGGTACTCCTCATCTGGCACGATCATCGGCTTCCTATTTTGCTCTCAGCGCTCGTAGTAGCGACAATTGCGCGCCTCATTATTTACTCACGCGACCGAAGGGAAAAGCTGCCGACATCGCCTGTGCCTCAGTCGCCCATAGAAAAGCAAAAAGTTGAGCTCAAGCCTGAGTGGCTCCCAGAATACACCACGACCCTCAGTTCTCCAGACCTCAATGTTGATAACCATGCCGAGGATGACACAGGCGCTGTGGTTGCGGCCACAAAATCAAAAAAGGGACCCAAGATGGTCAAGGGTAGGAAAATACCAAAGAAGAGTGTGGCGCCAGCTCTAGACTTCGATCACAAAACGGACAAGATACAGCCCCTGGTCTTCTTCCAGTCGCTTTCTGGTACAACCGAGCGCTATGCTGCACAATTCGCAAAGACAATCACAGAGTGGACGACTGGCTGCGATCAGGCCTCTTCTTTCCTCGAGCCTCAGACCCATGACCTTTCGTACATTGAACACGATGACTATTTTG